GGATGGAGAAACATAGAAATATTTTATAATGATTTCATGGTGAATATTTAGAAGACAACAAAGTGGAAGAACTCATTACTTTGATATGAGCAGAAAATATTTGGATTGGCATGTCCTCTACTAGTAGCCCAAGAAGTTTAATGATGTTTCCCTTTCTTCTCCACGAAGTAGAAACTTTTCTTTAGTATTCTGAATGGACAAGTGTAGTCCCATCCTTTTTTTTTCTCCCTGTCTGATAATCATTCACAAGCTTCTGCCATCCTTTCATTTTATTTAGGACAGATTCTACCTTGTCCCTCCAATTCCTTTTTAATCTCAAATGAAAATTCAAAACTATTTAAAAATTTTTGAAACTATTAAAATTCCTTCTGTGGCACATTAAAGTGATTAGATTTTATTATTTGGGTTTTGATTTTCAATCTTTCAAATGTTCAGGATGTGGTACATGGTTTGGTGTGAGTCTGTTATCATTAATATATATATATGTGTATATATATGTATATGTATGTATATATATGATGTTTGTGTGTGTGTGTGTATGTCACTGCCCATGTTCCTTAGCACATGTATAGAAATTAGAAGACAATCTTTGGGTGTCTATCCTAGAATTTCCACTTGTCTACTACTTTAAAAATTGGGATTAAATAAATTTAATTATAATTATTTTAAGTGTATATAAAATTTTATAATCTAACCATTCCTATTTGCTCCTTCCCACCAATAAATGATCCAAATTCATCCTGAGTACTTTTCACCAAACTGTAAAGTTGTGTAATCAGTGACTCTGTATGCAACTACTGTCATCTAAAGCTCTTACTTGTATAATGGAATTTACCTCCAGTGTTATACAGTCAATGCTTTTTTGATATGTGTGTTAATTGCTTCCACTGGACAAGTAACAAGAAATATGTTTTCATTTTCTTTAAAGTCACATAAATTCTCCCTTATTTTTCTTTTCTCCATTCACTGCCCAAAATCCTTTTACGTGTCCACAGGTTTTTCCTATGTGGAGTGCAATGCAGCATGTCACCTCTGCAAACTGGAATCTTTTACTTTATAATGACCATGTAATATTCTGTATTTCCTAAGCATGAGCAGTATATCTTGTGTAGCACTGAATAACATTCAATTGTTTAGACTAACCCCTACTCATTGAACCATTTCCCACTTGAAAGATATCCAGACTGCTTCTACATTTTGTCTTATTTGAGCCAAGATATTACAAATATCCAAATAGAGGCTTTAGCTTCTTCAAAGAGAATTGCTTACTGAATCACATGTTACAATTATATCCTTAGGTATTACCAGAGATTGTCAAATATATCCATAAATGGCTTTGTGCTTTGCAAAATCATTATAAATCAGTTGGCTTTATCATTGTACTACATTCTTCACAACATTAAGCATGGCAGTGTATGGAGTTCATTCATTAAAACACATATGCTACTTCATTTTTGTCTATATAGTTTGAGCCTTAGGTATGAGACTGTGCTGCATCATTGTACATTTTTGTTTGTTGTGTTTTTCTGTAGTGGCTTCTGTCCAAAGAGACATTTCCTGGATGAAGGGTGAAAACACATTTGTATTTGTAGGTGTAAGAACTAATGTCTCTAGATTGCTGGGAATATGCTGTCCTGCTCTTGGATGCCTTTTTTTTTTCTTTTTTTTCTTCAGAGCTGAGGACTGAACCAGGGTCTTGCGCTTGCTAGGCAAGTGCTCTACCATTGAGCTAAATCTCCACACCTGGATGCCTTTTTTATTCTCTCTCTCTCTCTCTCTCTCTCTCTCTCTCTCTCTCTCTCTCTCT